CAGAGTTCATTATAGATCGATTGGACGTATAATAGCATGAAGCAATAAAAAGTGTAGCCAAAATGACAATTAGGCTGAATTAAAGTTCATTCGGTTAATAGTAACTCAAAGTAATCAAATCAGTAATTGTAATGTCAATTGAGCTAATAGTAAATAAGATTGTTAAATATTAGCCCCAAAAAATCAAAACAGTCATCGCAACATCAAAGAGGCCGAATTAAAGTCCTCTGGATCAAAAGTAACTCGATGTAATCAAGACTATTAATATGTATGATTGAGCACACAACCGATAAATTGGCACAATACCTTGTTTACACAAAGTAAACAAGAGTCACCAAATATGTCACTTAGGCCGAATCAAAGTCAATTGAACTGAGAGTTGTTGTTGTTTACGGTTTTAATGGTGCAAGAACAGGCCATACTGCGCCAAACAAGGTTGAACTGAGAGTAACTCAACGTAATCAAAACGTCAATAATCATCACATTAAAAATTCAATTCGTTGACCAATAGCGCAACGTAATGAAGAGTCATCACAATGGCATTTAATTTGAATTATGGCCAATGAGTCAAAAGTAACTCGTCGTAGTCAAAAGAGGAATAATAACGTCAAATTCCTTATAGATCAATTGGAGCAACAAAAACACAAAGTATTAATCAAAAGAGTAATTATAAGTTGCAATTGTCCTTTTCTCATCTGAACTGTAGCAATGTTAAGTCGAGTAATAAAAAAGGTTATACAAAACGTCCATTCAGCTAAAATAAATTCAAGTGCACCACAATAACTCGAGGTTACGAAAAGAGTAATCAATTACGCCTCGTCAAAAGTGGGACTAGTAACTCCAAGTAATCGCAATAGCTGATTAAATGATCAGTTGTCCCCCGAAAAATCTAAATGTATAAAAAATTATTCTAAGTTATCAAATGTGTAAGCAAAACATGACCCCTGAAGGCAATAAGTGCATATACTGGCTGTTCCAAGGAGCGGCCAGGCTCTTTAAATTGACCGCAAAATTCGGTTTAAAGGGACCATGAAATTACATTTTTCCTTTTGCCAGATAACTTTTACATTAAACCTTCAATGTTCCCTGAATGCCGAACAGGCATCCCTTTTCGTCTCGATTTCTTAACTTTCACACAAAAAATTAATGAAATATTGACTTTTTCTTTCTCTCCAACTGACCGCAAAACAAGTTGTGGTGTAATTTTGACGGTCGTGACGTACTCTGGCACAGGAACTGGAAGTTTTCTCGGTAGTAGGAGAATGGGAGCGAAACCTGCGACGAGTTTGGGATGCGCCAATAGGTTTTACCACAGTGGGTTTTACTATGGGTTTTACTGCGCTGATGGTGCTGATGTCACCGACGTATTTTCGTAATCGGCGCCTCTCATCGTCGCGATAGCCATGGACACATCGCAGCTGAGCGAAATTAATTTCATTTCATTTAATTTATTTCACCTTAAGGGCCCGTTAGGGGAATTAGTTAGGGGCAAATTCAATTAGAAATGTTGCGCTACAGCGACAGCATGGAACTAGTCCCATACGCTGGTATGCCTGTTGAGAAGTGCGGCAAGTCTTCCGGCGAAGACTCCAGTTCTTCATCGGAATCGGACGATGAGGAGTGGGGCGGCTTCAAAGTATGGAATGGTAGGTTACGTTTCGGCGGTATATTCAGATGTACGGAAGTAACAGAGATATAAAATGTTTTGTTCCTTTGAAGGTGCACTTGCAAGTGGTGCATAGTAGCGCCTACCGCTCGAGGGCGCTTCTGCTGCCGGGAGTGCGCCGCCGCCGTCTCAATTCAAAACAACGGCCGCATTCGCAGAGAACACTGTGAATGTGGCTGTAATCACGCTCGGTGTTAAAATGTTTCGAGCATACGCGAATGACCGTAGACTCGGGGTCCCTCGGACCGATGAGCCTGCACCAAGTGCTTCAATGTGGTTCATCGAGTGGCAAGCGGTGAAACTGCAACTGTTTCGTTTTAACCACCTGACTGCAGAAACTGTAATTCGGGCACTTCGGTGCAGCCTTTTGGCATAGCCAACGAGCGATCAATCACAAACAATGCAAACACTACTCGAGCAGTCAGAAAACAAAAGTGCTATGCGAAGAAAGCGCGACAAGGAGCAAACCCGTTCAGCAGGCGGCGCTAGTCGGTTGATTGCGCAGGCACAGTCGTGTCTTTCTCTTGCTTCATTTACCACACGATAGATGGCTCTGGCTTCGAGCATTATCAAATTAATTTTTGCCACATCTCTAATTATGCTACAAAATGTGGATCTGAATATTATTTAACAAAACTTTTAGGAAACCTTCGCCGGTTATTTATTGTTTATGATTGCAATGCTGGTGAAGTAGGCTCTTACCAACGTTACTAGAACCACTCAGTTGGGACAGAGCCGTTGGGAAACTGCCATAGAGACTGCTCTGAAAAAATGGCCCCGATCTCGAGAACCAAGCTAATGGCGATCACCACACCGCCAATTCTGTCGCAGCGGCCACTCGAGGAACTGCACATTACTTCTACTTTGGCTTTAATCGGCTATTTTGGCTTAAAATGCACCTAGGTCGGGACGCGCTACCTGAAAGTACCGCTGAGGCATGGTTGTATAAAAACAAATTAATTGTGCCGCAAACCCTACAAACTAAAGATTTTAAAAACATCACGCGCCCATCATTTTGTACTAAACTCCAATAAATTTCATACAAAAAGAGTCTTTTCCATTTGTTTTTATGCAAAAACATGCTTTGTAAAAGCTCAAGGTGACCACAGTACGGACAAATGATAAAGAGTGGCGCTGTTGTCGTATTTAGCTCGGTCTCGGTGGACACCAGCGGTCCAAGTTTCGATGGAGAGTTTCCCAACTGAATGTTTTGGTAACGTTGGCTCTGGTCTTACCACTGATCTCTATGACAATTGGGTTTGCCACACAGCGATTGTTTGTGGTGATGATGATAATGAAACTGTGCCAATAGCAGAAATGTGGTCACCCTACTTGCCAGCTGTCTAGTTATTTGCAGATGTATTACCAAGTGTGTATAAGAGATCAATATTCAGAAAAGTATTTACAGGTCAACAAGTTACTTGTAAGCCTGACTGAGTACACCACATGACACAGTTTGCACGATTGCTTTATCGGCGCGTGTTCACATTTTTCTTAAAACGGTTTAATGAGCACCAAATTTTGTTGCTTAGACTTGTGCCTAGGCTGAGTACTTTTTGCCACATTAGTATTTTTGATGGTAAAACTTCCAATACTAAGAGAAAAGCAAGAAAAACTGGTAATTGCACTTCTGACAACTGTATTGCACAGTGTGCACACATGCAACGTAAAAAAAAAAAAAAAAAATTGATCGCATCTTTACGTGATGAATGATGTTGATTCGGGCAAAGCTCTGGCGGTGCTTGTCTGGGTAGGCGTAGACGCTGAGCCGCAGCATGCCGAGCCTTTCGTTCGTTTTCATCCATATAAGAAAGAGAATGTGTGGTATGGAACGTGGTTATATACGCATTTCAGCATTTGACTACAGCGCCCTCTTGTCTATAAACATTGAGCCAATGCGCATTTGACCACAGTGCCCTCTCCTGTATAGACGTTGAGTGGCTACATGCAACGTTTGATCCATGACATCCCCAGCTCTTGAGTTACTACCACATCTCAGAGCCCCCTATTCGTTCCGCAGTCGTGGCCGAGTGGTTAAGGCGATGGACTAGAAATCCATTGGGGTCTCCCCGCACAGGTTGGAATCCTGTAGACTGCTCAAACATTTTTTTTTTTTTTTGCCCTACACGAGCACGAGCACCAGCAAGATCGATGTGAGCACGGACGCCGGACGGACAAGGCTAGACCCTAAGGAGCTTCGTGCTTCGCCCCTAAAAAAAAAATATTTCATTTCCTTCATTAAAGTTATGTTGATAAGCTACCTCCTCTGCTGACTGTATACATAGCATGCCAAATGCATATTAACACCCAATAGGCATTGTGGCAATATCAGTGCAAGCACTATTGCTGCCAAATTTCTGGTGGCAAACCGTTTGTTGTAGTATTATGTTTTGTTGAAAAAAACGCCGCTGGTTTCACAACAAACTTTTTGTGTTTTGCCTGGGATGAGAGAGGAGAGGCGACTTGAGGCTCACTAGCCTTTGCCGGCTTCCAGATTTGACTTAGTAGAAAAAATATGTTGATGAAACGTGATCACAAAGAGTTTTCACGAAACGCCAGTGTTGACGAAACCTGTGTCCATGAATAGTTGTCCACGAAACACTCTTTCACAAAACTTGTTTAAACTAAATAATACAGACCAGTCCATGGTACTTGCTATAGTCGGTTACAGGTTAAGAAAATTTTTCAAGGTGAAGGAGGGTGGGGGAGAGGGAAGCAGACAGAATGCTGGAGAGGAGAGGGGAAACCTCCTCCTCTCTTCACCATTTTGTCTGCTTCCACCCCAGCCAGAAAACTTTTCTTAACCCATCACCGACTACAACATATGATACTGTTGCATCACACTGGTCATCATGACATGTCTAATGGTGATTTGTTGTCGAATTCCAGTTTGTTTTTCAAACTCAGCAATGAACAGAGGAAAACTGAAATCATAAAGCACCCTGTAGTCGGCGACAGGTTCAGAGTTCAGAGGAAGCCCCTCCCACCTCTTCCCACTTTAGCGGAGTGAATGCAGGAGAAGAGGTGACCTCCTCTCCAACCTCTCCAACATTCGCTCTGCTTAAGTAGAGAGGTGGGAGGAGCTTCCCCTGAATTCTGAACTTGTCACCAACTATAGGCAGCAATTGGTTTTGATCAGCAGTCCCAACATCAAACTTAATATGAGCAGAACTAGTTTTTTTTTTTTTTTTTTTTTTTTTTTATGCTTGGCATACACAATTGTTTTTTTCAGTCCTTTTTTTCAGACCTCGTCTAAGAGCGGAACTGCTCTAAACATACTCCTGGCAATGCTTCCATTTCTTTTCTGTCAGATTGACACAGACACAAAAGCATGTCTAAGCGACGTAACAAGTATAATTTATTTCCCTATGACTTAGCAATTCACAGGAAGGATGTATTCCAAATGTCTGCATTTGAGCATGCAACACATGGTTCTAGGAAACTCGAACCACAATACCTGTTTCAATGCAACACCATCCTTTCATTTCATTTGCATTCATGGGACATTCCAAATGAGCAAATATTTCCAGGAATGAAAAGGAATTTAAAATTTTCAAGTGAAACAATTTAATAGGTGTGCGACTGTGCGACCTTGATTTTTAGCAACTTCAACTGGCACATGACAAAAACTCTTGCATAAATTACTGTCACTATAGCCCTGTGCTTGAAAAACCTGTTTCACATCATCAGACAAAACCACTACTGACTGCAGGATACAGGTGATCCAATATGCATGTTTGAAGCAAATTGGTGATGTGCAACACAAAGTTATAACGCATACGACTCCACAGGTCACTGCAGACCAATGTCCCCATAAACAAGTTGATATCATGTACACACAATATCATACCCTTCACAAGACAACTGCCATGCACACACTGCAGTATGCACATTGTCAACAGTGGCAACATGCACTTGGTCAATTAAAATAGGGCATACCACAAGGTCAAGCTGTGTTCAGCAGATGCACAGTATCACATAACAAAATCCCACACAGTTTAAAGGTTCAGATTATCAAAAAATAAATACCCAATTTTAACATCAGTCAAGAACAGGCTTTACAAGCTAGTTGAAATGACATTGTCACAGTACTACCCAAGCCCAAGCTGACATATTAGCAGCAGCTTCCATATATTGAACCCCACATGATCAGCTCAGTAACATTACTTCCTGGATTCTTCTTTCCTGTTCTAATAGCTTGCATTATGCTCCCAGATGGGCAACAGAATTACTGTTCACTGCTGGACTCGTGAGTGCAAAGTATTTGTTTAATTTCTTTCTTCTGAATATGTTTTGAGAAATTACGCTATGGTGACCTGGTTTTTGGAAAAAAAACAATGAAATAAGAGAACAACTTTCACAGTATTTTGAAAGTTTCCACTTCACCTCTGCCATATCGTTCCCTGCTGCTGTTTGAGCATTGTTCACAGATGCATGTTGCCCATTTGGCATGGCTATACCGAAGGGCTATCCAGAAAGCTGTGTGCAATCAGAGGCAACATTTACTCTCGAGAAATCAAGGAACGCCAAATGTGCTGACATACAAACTTCAGATGCTAACATGTTTTAGAAGCAGTGCCTATTTAGCGTTGTCAAGTCTTTCTTTTACAGGTGTAGTTCCTTCCAGCACTGGCTTCCTCCACGATTGCATTTGGTGATCCTAGGATTACTTAACAAAAGGGGCAACTTCTAATTACAAACGCAGCTTTGATAAGGCAGCAAATGTTGCTTCCTTTCATGTAGCCCTCTATTGATATTTAAGAACCATTCTATTGATATTACTGGCCACAATCACACGCATTCATTCATCGTAAAAAGATAGACCGAAGTTTCTCCTCAGTTAGTTACACTGTCTTGTACATGTAGTGTCCAGCACACATTTCATAGCCTCTTACGCAGATGGATAAAGCTTGGCTATCAAATGCCAACATAAACAAGAAAGAATATGCCTTTGGACCTGATGACTAAGGTCAGTGAAAGCATGATAAAAAGATGGTACATGTGAGGCATTCGTGTCACTGAGCTTGAAAAGGCAAGCTTACCCTTAGCCTGTACTTTATTTCCAAAACTGAAAAAACACACAGAACACATGACTTGCGCAACTGAAGTCTTGCACACGCTCAAAAGACTGGTTGTAAAACAGTCTGTACACCAGTGGAACGCACTGCTAAAATCAGTCAGTGGACGTTTACCGAAGCTTGGTGCCCTCCATAGAAGGGATAAGAATTCACGTTGAAAACGAAGGTCTGTACATATATGGCAGGTCTTCAAACATTGCACTAGTAACCACGCAGTCCATTGTAGATTTTTGTTTTGGATTCTTCCTTAAGTATGTTCTTGAGGGCTGTTCGGACATATTAAAGCAAGAGCATTAATACAAACTGACGAATAAGCACGGCAAGCAAGGTGGTTGAAGTCGCACATTAAAAATCTGAGACGAAGAATGACACAAAGGACATGCATGACACGTCTCCTCTTTTTTGTTTCACCTCTGTCTTGGGTTTTTAACGTTAAAATACAAACAATACACAAAGTGACATTTATTGTTAGTGCCAGATCGCTCCCAAAAGCAGTCGTCAGAGAATACGAGCTTGATCCACTTCGGCTTTTGTGGTGAGCTGGCACATGCACCGTGCATGCTGCATTGTTCATGCAGGCCGGAGTGGAAACAAATGAGCCCCTCCTCCCCGTCAGCGACCGAAGAACACAAACTCCAGTTCAACGCTGACGCGGAGTTCGGTTAAGTCAGTCGAGCGCTGAATCATTGTTATTTGTTGACCCCATCCGTGTAGTTCTAAAGTTAGCCACTTCGGGTGCCACGGTCTGATCTCCTCTCAAATACACATTATGTGTCAGTGATTTTTTCTGTCTCATTTTTTCCTGTTGGTATTGCGTTGTGCGTAACTTAATTTATTATTTGATTACACGCCCTGATGCCATAATAGAAAAGATGACAAAATGACCTCAATGAGCACTTGAAGTCACTTTTGTTGAGGCAACAGCAATTAGTTGAGAACTCCGCTGCAGTGGCATGTGCTCCGTGGTCAACGTGGAAATATAATAAAATTTCGGTGCTCTATGAAATGATTCGGATGATGCAACTTACTGTTTTCTTTTCTTTTGTATAACTGATATACTGCAACATTTTCATGTGAATCTGCCGGGCCATGGGCTAAGGTCATATTTTGGCTTTTTGGCTTTCCGTGCATCAGTAATTTGGGAGATGTCAATAAAATTTTATTTTATGACTTGGAAGTATGATCTTTGCAAGAAAGAAATGTGTTCTGCGGACCTTTGGGGCGCAGGGCAATCTAAACCTGTGCTAACATTACGACAACACTTCTGCCTCTCCACATCCAACAAAAACTCGCAAAATACGGATAGAACAGACAAGGTGGCAGACACAGAACGTCCCCTTCCAGCAGTCCTTCTGCTAGTGCTTCTTTTTTTTTTCCTGCCTAATCCCCAAAAAAAGGGGATAATCCCCTTCCTCCTCCTCTCCCTCCCCCTCACTCTCTCTCCGTCCCCTCCCCCCCCTTGAAACCCAGCTCTTTCGTTTCTAGGCCAAGCGTCCAAAGATAAGATGAGCAAAAGACAGAAATGTTTTCTATATTTTTTGAAGGAAAGAAGGCACTGGGTAAGAAGGTGGCACTCGCAGTGCCACCTGGAATCGTAAATAATCTCTATTTTAGTTCCAATTCAGCTGCGATATCCTCTTAATAAGTGTAACATTAACACATTTTGAATATGCAGGTGCAGACATTTGGGATCAAATTAAGAAAGTTGCACATGGTCACACTTACCTTCCTTATTTTCAGCACTAAGGTCCCCTTTGGGGAAGTCCACGTCAAAAGTCACATACAAGGTTCCCTTCAAGTTATTGTTTTCATAGTTGGGCATTCCTTCATTTTTCTTTCGTAGCCTTGCTCCTGGCCATGTCACTTTCTCCCGAGTAATGGTTACCTGGGCCACAAGAAACAAGTTTGTTGGCACTGAACATCACTTATCAAAGGCAGTAGAGCCCTGCATATCCGCGGATTATCCACAGTAAACTGGCGGATGCGGACAAAAATTAGACAGATTTTGGCGGATTGCAGATGGGATGCGGATGTCAGGGGCTGCAGATGTGGATATCCGCGGATCCGAATCTAAATTTTTGCCCAGTGGCATTCAGTCCATCAACTGACGTTTCATCTACAGATCATTTTATCGACATGCGACGTTTGATCGAAAGGCTTCCCCCGTTCATTTTATCGATAAACCTGAGACGTTTCATACCCACAACCCTATTTTCGTAACAAACTTTTTGCGTCTCGCCTGGATTACACGGGGGAGGGGACATGGTTTGGTTAAGCACGCCTTAGTGAATCATGTGCTACCTTTAGTGGCTTAGTCAAGAAATACGTTGTCGACAAAAACGTCACAGGGGCATGTGCCCACAAAACGTACAGCGTTGATGAACCGTGTGTCCATGAAATGTATGTCCGTTAAATGTTGTCCACGAAACGTATTTCCACAAAACGCGTTTCGAAGAAAAGATAGGGATCCTAAGAAAGATCTGATTCTTACTGAATATCGCTTCAGTTAGTGCATTTCATCTCGTCAAAAATGCTATCTATAGAAAAAGTAAAGAATGCAGGGCATCAATTGTCCCAAGAAAGCTAGTTCTTTGGCAGGGAAAGGGCGGAGAAGTTTTTCCGGGCAGAGAAAACCTCAAATATACAAGTCACAAGAAAGCAGAAGAAACCTCCCCCTCTCCGCAGAGAGTGGTGTGGTCATGATACCAAAAACAAAAGAAGTGCTTCGACAGTGAGCGTGACCCTGTGGCACCACAGATTGCAAATTTTCGGAATCAGCGGCGCACGCACATAGGCGGCCCACAAATTGCCCGTTTCTTTTTTGTATGCTTAAAGTTCTAGCCAAGAAAGACTGGTAGTTCATATTCGTCCGGTTACGACGCCAGGGCGCCAGCAATGCCAGCTGCTGCCGCGCGTAACCTCTGTAACCGCCCCAAGCAAAAAAAAAAAAATGTTTTTTTTTTTTTTTAATATATATATTTGGGCGCTTGCAGGCCGCGATCGTTCTCGAATAACACGTTAGTCGAGGATTTAAAAAAAAAACAATGCTGGAGATGGAGGCGGGACGCTACAATCCCTACAACACTACTAGTAAGGCGATATCTCAAATGGACGGCCGTATTTTTGGAAAAAGAAGTCGAGGTTGAACCAGGCCGACGAGGCACGTGACCGTCAAGATACCTAGTTTCCTCCTCTCTTCGCTTCGCTCCCTCAAGGCCGCGAGGCGGAGAAGACGCGAGGCCGTTCCCTCTCCTTCTCGGAAAAACATGACGACAACATTCCTGCCAAATGCGCCTCTTTTTTTTTAAAATACGGTCATCCGTTCGAAATATCGCTGTATGAGTGATGTTTTGGTGTTTGTAGCATCCCGTTGCACGCTTTTGCCGCGTGTTTTGGGGAATTCAGATTTCGGTTCAGCATCCCTTTAGTCGATCCGATCAGACCTTGGACTCTGACTTAGCGGCGCAACTGCCCGCTGGCTGACACGAAACACCGTGAGACTCGAGGCAGCCGCATACGCTCGGTAACATCACAGAAAGAATTTTGTCTTCCTACACTGCTTCTCCTCCTCTTTTTCCAAACGTCTTTTTTTTTTTTTATGGATTTTTTTTTTTAGGAGTTTAGATTTCAGGGGAGAGTTAAGGGGCCACAGGTGAAAGTTTCCGATTCCGCTTGTGGCGGGGAAGAACACGGTCGGCGTGATTTCCGCTGATTTTGCTAGTCTCAATGTAATCGTAACCTCTGGTGGTTAGCAAGAACATCAACAAGGTTTCAGATTTTGCGGATGCGGTTCAGATACAAAGTATGCGGATGCGGATGCGGATAAAATAATGTAAAAAGTTTGCAGATGCAGTTCGGATGCGGATACAAAGTCTGCGGATGCGGATCGGATGCAGATACTGAAACTGTTATACGCGCAGGGCTCTAACAGGCAGTCAGGCAGTCATGCACAGTCTCTGTGTATGCCACCAACACCTGTCCAAACGAAGTAGGGCCCCAGAGGCTGAAAGAGGGGAACTGAAATGCCGACATTCTGTGACTGGGACAGTCTCGGAATGTCAATAGAATGGAGCCTGTTAGAAGCGGCACAAATTTTGAAAGACAACTCAAGGTATGCGGATGTTGCCTCCACTCCTATATTCATACAAATCTGTGTAATGTTGCAGTACTGCACTTGATCCCTTTTGCAGACCAATGCCAACCTGTTAAACCAAGAGTTGCTTGAAAGCTAAGCTCAGAGTTTTTCCCACTGCCTGATGTCACTACGATGGTCATTAATTCAGCCGCATCACATTACATTTGTTTATGCTCACGCGGCTCGTGACTACTACCATGCTGTTGCCTAGAGCAGTACAAGTGTCACAGTCAGAGTTCTGAAATGCAACTTTCCAAGTTTTAGAAACAATGGTAGGAGAGCCTTGGTGTCATCTTGCTCCCCCGTAAGCTGTTTTGGCAAGTAAGACGACAGAAAGCTTCCTGCATTTTCAGTTACTTAGACATGTGAACAAATGCTGTTGACAACTGGCAATACACATCCATAGCAATATGGCTCAAGTGATGCTACTCTGAAGCATAGTTTATTTAGGGACTCTAGTTGAACTTGCACAAGAAAAGTGAGCTGCTGATACACACATGACATGCTCCTGTAGCATACATGTCCCCGAAACCTCCGCCAAAGCTTACAGGTCACAGACTCACAGGTCTCAATCCCTTCGAGGAACAGAGGAATCTGACTATACTGCTTTGTATGCTTAGTAGCCTGAGACAGTTTAGTCTCGATTGGGTTTCATACTTAATAAACAAATCTGTTTATTTTACTCGTTTACAAATACTACCACATTGTTGTGGAAGGCCTCATAGAGCCGGGCCTTCCAGTAGAGATTTAAAAATGCTAGCATCTTTCCTCTCTCATTTTTTTTCTAGACGGTACAAAGGACAAGCAAAGTAGTACTTTGTGGCCATCCAGATGGGTGATCTCAGTCTCGAATCCCACCATGGCATCAGTGAGGGAGATGGTGATATTTGTGTACAAGTCGTCCCCTTTCCTTTCAAAGACTGGATGCCTAGAATAGCACGAAAAAGAGATCAGAGAGATGTCACAAAGGACCAAGTGAAATAGAGTTGACAAATAAAAAAGAATGGTGCTCACGGCATTGTTCGTATCCTTAGTTTAAGGTCACCAGGTTCACCGTCAATGTGTGGTTCACCTGCAAGAAAAACGTCCAAACTGTGATTAGTGATTAAACTGATATGCTCAGACACTGAACTTGTACTGCTTCCTTTCCAGAAACAGAAAATCCTTCTGTTCTAACTCTTCTTGGTACTTTTTCATCCTGCAGTTGCTTTTCTTCAGAGGATACTGCAAAGCCATTTTTGCACAGGTTGCAGTAACCCAAGAACAAGAAATAGAGGTCCTTAAAGCGCAACTCCGCTTAATTCCAAAGATTTCGGGATAGTCAGTGATTTTGCATTAAAAAGCCTTAGTAAAAGACACTACGTCGTTTGCTCCGCGAAAAATGGGATATATATTTTTAAATCTAATTTTAAGCACAAACGAAAATTGAAACCGAAACTTCGGCTCCGTCTGGCAACATTGTCCTCGGGCCGCCAAGGACAGGGCCATCACGTGGTACGAGATGTCACGTGACCCTCTACGCAACGACGGGTGGGATTAGGGTGGTCGTGTGCCAGGGGCAAATGTCGTCTGCACCGCACTCTTCGCCACGTTTTGGTGTCTATGACGACGTCTGCAGAACTGCGGCATAAGTCTGCGCACGTTGTGTCCGTAGTGTGGACAAAACTCTGAGAGACAATAATCACAAACGATGAGACGACGACGGCGGTTGTGACGCGGGAGACGGCGGTAACGGCGAGACCACGGCATGGCGGCCGAACGGCTCCCAAGACGCGCGCTGCGCAGGCGTGTTACGCCAATCACGTGGACACTGCTGAGCGCCGAGAGGAAATGTTGCTGATGTCATCCACTACACTTGCGCGAAGAAGTAAAAATAAGCAAAAGAGGGCAATGGTGATAACGTTTAGCACAACGTTGGCTACGCCCATGCCGTAGCCTTGACTGCGGTGTTGGTTACACCTGAATTCGCCTGCTCGAGTCAGCCGATTTCGGCAACTTGGCGAGTTGCAAAGTTTGCCGGACTGTTTAAATAACATTTAGACAGAACTGCGTCGTAATATTCGACGTGTGGTCTTCATAGGCGATACTGATAAGGACTGCATCGTTTTTTCAAAACCAAAAATGAAGCAGAGTTGCTCTTTAAATTATTGTAAATAGTCATTTATCTTCAAAAGATTTACACACATTGCATAAGATGGATAAAGCAAATCAAACCAAAGGAAAGAAAAGCACCAGATGTACTTGAGCATGAGACAAAAGGTACAATATTGGGATTACAAATTTAAAAGTAGCGCTAAAGACGAGGACAAGTAGAAGACACAGACACGGACATGCGCTGACTCGCAACTGATATTTAGTGAAGAATGAAAAGAAGATAAAGCAGAAGTGCTTTCTTTCGTTTTGGTTAGTCTTCTTTTTTCATTTCGTATATGTCCTTGCACTTCTGCTTTATCTTCTTTTCATTCTTCACTAAATATCAGTTGCGAGTCAGCGCATGTCCATGTCTGTGTCTTCTACTTGTCCTCGTCTTTAGCGCTACTTTTAAATTCGTAATGTATAACCAACTAGCCCGTCACATGATCCTTGTACAATATTGGGAGTTTACATTGCAAATCAACTAAGGTCACGAGACTTAGGTTCCTTCCCCAATTGCAGAAAAAATGAAGAGCACCTAACTAAAAACATGTGCAGAAAAAAAAAGGAGACAAGTTTTACAGCCAAAAACTATAAAAAAAAAATAAGCAAAAGTTGTGAGGCAAAAATATTCCCATAACCTAAACACAAACTCAAAGCAGCAAAAAATATAGCTTACATATTCATACTTCTATAAGCATCTACCATTTATTTTAATGTATTTTTGTTTTTAATTTCAGTAATTGCTGAGGAGAAAAAAATGATCCCAAATCCAGCTTGAACAAGCTTCTATCCCTATAGTCGGTGACAGGCTCAGGGCAAGCTTCTTCCACTTTATCAGAGCAAACGCTAAAGGAGGTGAGGAGAGACTCACCTCCAGCCTTCCCACTGTTAAGGTGGAAAGAGTGGAGGGCCTTGTGAGAGAAGCTTGCCCTGCACTCTTAACCTGCAAAGGACAATAGTTTTGTCACAATAATGCCATGATTTTTGACAGCCACTTGCTCAATATTGGAGGATATGCTAACAATGTAAAAAGCTCAGAGAAAACCGTTACCTTCTGCAACAAACACTTGCTCTTGTCCATCTCTCATGCCAGCCTCTACTTCCACTTCAAGAAGTTTCTCTTCGCTCACCAACCTAAAAAGTCAAAGAAAGATCTCTTCAACCGACAGATTTCAAATTAGAATTCATTACACAGTACATGGGAATTGAGCGAGAGACTGATTTCTTCTGGCTCCCTGTACAGAAATGGTGTCATCAGACCGTTTTATCGGATTGTATAAAACCAAATCAAATGTCTAGATTTTTCAAAATTGAAAATAAAATTACATCAATATTTAATAAAACTCTATCTGCAAGCCTTGCATTAGAAAAACTATTTTACAAGAAATCCAAAGAGTTAGGTTGGTTCAAGAGCCATTGAGATTGTTATGCTGTAACAGTAAATCTCAGGTCTACACGGTTGTGTTTCTGCCTCAGACAATTAGAGAATGCAAGTAAGGAATAAATTGTCTCAGGGCTTTATGGTGCAACAGCTACGGAGGTCATCCTGTACTAGACAAAAAATAAAACTGTCATTGCTAGTGTGTTATGAAATGGTAATTTTAAAAGCTCCATATAAAACTAGATCTGGTGTATAATGTATGTGAAAAGAATAAAAGATAAGACACGGTCAAATGGAATGAACGGATATTCTCCCAGTAAAAGAGCAAGACAGAATGAGATTTGGGAGTGAAATAATTAAGAAAAATGAGTATGACATTCGTTGTCCATACCTGACCAGAGCCACAAAATATGTAGGATGGTAAGAGCATCCGTATAGTGCACACAAACTGGTGGGTCCTCTACACAAAGAGGATACTTATGCGACGGTTTTGTGTGCGAACCACTTCACAGTCGAGTATTCTTATGTGCGAGATTGTTACTGAAGCTGAGAACAGAGACTCCAACTAAGCGAGCGATACCATAGACGTCGTCGTCTCAAAATGGAGTGTTCGAAATGCGGTAGGTAAACGAGAAAGCTGAAGCACGAGACGCTGAGAAAGCCAAGTCTGCAAATGCGTGCGAGGGAAAGCTACGCCGCCAGGGATGGAGGGCGAGGTATTTCACTGGCCCACCAAACATGACGACCTCCCCGAATGGGGTGGATCCGAGGGTCTTGTGAATAAATACATTTATCCATGAACCTATTGCGCTAAGTATTTACAAAACAGATTTAGAAAAAAACTTACAATGGGTCCTAGCAGTATATAGTTATCTCACATTTTATTTTTGCCGTGTCCTAACCCACCTTCTTTCAACCAGGTTTCGGTTTTCCTACTCCATGCCAGGCATCCCTTGGACAGCTGACCTTTAAAGCTTCACGACCATCTCCCCAGAAGTGAAAATGAAAACAAATTTTCGAGCGATAAACCCGGCCAAAAGATATTGTTTAAATTTGCAAACCTACTTGACATTGGGACACTCGTCACATACGGACTGCTGCATCATCTGAAAACGTCCTGGGCCCAGTTGCCGTGTCACCATCTCCTGGCGGCAGTTGCAGCGGCGTGTGCCCTTGGCGGGTTTCACAGTGGGCTTGTTACGAACCACCTCCACAAAGTTGCCAGAGTAGAGCTCCTCCAGGGTCACCCAGAGGTCCATGACTACATCCGAGCCTCGAGGTGTCTCCCGCTGTTCGTTGCGAGAGCCTTCGCCAAAGAAGCCAAAGTCTCCAAAGAAGCTGTTCAGAGAGCGCAACATTGGAAAGCACAAGCGTGAGGATCAGACACTCATACAAGGGGGGAGCTCTCACCTCTACACGCTCCAAATCATTCATTCAGTCAATGACTGCTTTTATGACTTCTGATAATTCCCAGTAAGTTTGTAACTTACACTACCGTAAAGTTCCAAAAGAACGCCCACCCAAAATGAATAGATAAATGGTGAAAAACATGGGGTGGGCTATCTTTGGAAATGCCACAGCAAAACTTTATCAAAATTAATGATAAATACCCTGGCACCGGCTACAAACTATATGATGCGGGAACTGATATCGCAGATTGCGGACACTGCAAATTTGTGTTTCACGATGCGATAAACACGCGGGAATTCACTACTAACTCCTGTGTCACGAGAAAGGATACTGCAGGTTGCGGACACAGCAGATTTGCGTTTCATAGTGTGAAGGACCCGTCGAGAACTTGCATCTCACGGGAACGAATACTGCAAATCGCGGACGCAGCAGATTCAAGTTTTATGGAGCAATAAAAATGTGGGAACCCGCTACATACTTGCCTGTCAGGAGAACCGATATCGCGTGCATAGATCGCGGACAAAAATGTGGGAATCTGCTGCAAACTCGTATGTTACGAGAACAAATACCGCAGATCGCAAATGCTGCAGAATTGTATTTCATGATGCAATATATATGCGGGACCAACTCGCGTGGAATCAAGATCGTGTGCGCAGATCGCGGACACAAACTCGGGAATCCACTACAAACCTTATGCCAAGGGAACGGATACCGCAGATTGCAGACGCAACAGATTCACATTTCATGGTGCAACATGAATGCGGGAACAACTCGCGTGTTCCGAGAGCCGATATTGTGCACGCAGATCGCAGACAAAAACGAGAGAACCCGCTACGAATTCGCTCGTCAGACGCGCCGGTACAGCGAATTGCGCGGTTGATGCGAATCCAGTTGGACATCGCGTGATGTCCGATGGGAATCGGGAGTGGGCGATGTTTCGGAATTTTTATGGTACAGATGTTTAGCCAGAAAAATGGGATAGGCAATCTCTTGGTGGCGGGCGTTCTCTCGAAACTTTACGTATCTGCTTATCCTAGATAAATAATTATTTTGAGATAGCTAGGTGATTTTTGTTCTTTTAATTTATTTCAGAATCCCTAAGGGCCCAGAGGGCATTACATAGGGGTGTTGCTGTAAGATCAGTCAAACAGATATACAACACAAAACAACATTACTATACAAAAACAGGTAAAACACACTATGAATCATTAGAACATATTCAGGAACAATAACCAAAAAAAAAGTCAGCAAAAAGAGGTGTACTTCAATACATTCAGTGATACCAAAAAACAAAGCACAAAAACGCCAAATACTACTAATACTAATAATAAAGAAAAAATACAGTTTCAGAAACAAGTGACTAAAAGAGTCAAAGGGTAAAAAAGGAAGAGGAGCTACAATTCAGTTTCAATTCCAAAGGAGCGAGAAGACTGCAGTCTGGAAGGCAGAAGATTCTGTTAAAGTGGCTAAGCAGCATGCAGGTAGCGAATTCCGATCCTTTATTGACAACACTGAGAGAGAAATTTGGTATCTCACTGTACGTGCAAATATTGGTAAAACCTTCAATGCATGTTTGGTACGGGTAGATATGTGACGCGCTGGCCGAATATGAGAAGATGCGAATGATGAGTCACCGTAGTAAAGAGAGTGAAGGAATGATAAGTGAAAAAACTTTCTTAGCATGTCAAGATTTAAAAGGTTAAGAGACTGCTTAACCTTTTAGAGTAGGACCTCAGGATGAATCTTGTAGCCTTACTCTGTACTGACTCAAGACAATTAGATTAGCTTGATGTGTAAGCCATACAACTGAAGCATATTTTAACGTTGCTCTGATTAAGGAGGTATACGCATGAAGTCTCGTTTCAGCATTAGCAAGGTACCAATGACGCTTAAGAAATCTTAGCTTTTTAGGGCCTTTTCAGTTATATATACACGAGTGTTCCAACTTAAATCGGAAGTAAAAAAAGACACCTAAATATTTAAAGGACGGGACACGTTTAACCACGCTGTTATCTATTCTGTAAAAGTTGGATCGGATGCTTGAAAGTGTGGAAAAGGTCATATGTTTAGTCTTATCTATGCTTATTTTCATTTTCCACCAATGGTGCCACTCGGACAACTTAGTTAAATCGACCTGCAAAATGATAACGTCGTCATGGTTAGTTACCTGCCTGTAAAGAACACAGTCGTCAACAAATATTCATATTGACGAGTCTATGCTGGTCATTATGTCGTTAATGTATATTAAAATCAGCAAGGGGTCCAGCACACACCCCTGAAGGACTCCCGATTTTAATCGCTCTCTGTTAGATAAGCAGTGGACAATGGAGACTGATTGATAGCGGTTAGATAAGAATTCCCTAATCCACCGAGTGGTACTACGGTCCAGTTGAAGGTCAGACACCTTTTTAAGTAGACATATGCCTCAAAACGAAACAGTACCACACCACTTCAACATGCCTACCTCTCGGTAGAATTGTCGACTACAGCTCGGAACATATCAAGCAAAAGTTTGCACTGCAGAACCCAAGGATCCCAAGTTCAATCCCTGCCCATGCCCATTTAAATCTGGATGAGCGTCGTACCGGTGTGTTTGTGTCATCTCTACTGCATGGCGCACATTAAAGACCATGGGCTAGCAATCATACTGCACCAAATGAACTTTTCACCTAAAGCATAAACCAGTGTCACCATACCTCAAGGACAACCTTACGCTGTCTAATTTGCTTTTTTTTTTTTTCCATGTTTTTTATGCTGGCATATGCTTAATTTTTAGACATTTGACGAGTTCAAAGAACTTAGTAAATCACAGGATCACTAGAACATGGCCAAAATGCTCATTTTCTTCCTCATGAGCACATCATAGAACTACAACTGAGCAGGTCAAAAGATTGCTGACCACAGAATATAGTACTCGAAGCTTACCTTGCAAAGGGATCACTGCCTCCAAAGGCATCATGTTTGAGCCCTTCTTCTCCATGCTTGTCATAGGCACTCCGCTTATCGCTGTCTGAGAGGACCTCATACGCTGCACCCAGGTCCTGGAACTTCTCTTGGGCGTGTGGATCATCCTTGTTTTTATCAGGATGCAGCTCCTTGGCTAGTTTTCGGTATGCCTTCTTTATCTGGTTGACATTAGCGCTTCTTGAAACTCCTAAAATCTTGTAAAAATCGCGCCTGAATGTTAAAACAAGAAACACCATTAGTTGTTGAAATTGATTTGTCCTTCGCAGGCGGAAACTAAACGGCGTTTATTTAGGGGCGAAGCTTGATCGTAAACGCTGCGGGCAACTAGCCGCAGGTAAACTCCGTGCATATATGTAGACAGGCCTGTTTGATGGACGAAAACTGACAGCCCCTTACTATTTGGAATATAGAACGCTCAAAACGTTGGTACGATCCGTCATTTTAGACAAACGAAACTATCACACAAGAAAGATCAGCGTCAAAAGGAGCGATTAGGAACTATTCATCGCGAAGGACACTGTCAGGTAGAATCATGCATTTCAAGGAATCGGAATTCAAATCACGTAGCAACACCTACTACCTAGCAGCTCACGCGCAAACCACAGACGCATATAAATTGTAGGCAAGGTACAACGATAAATAATTGGGAAAACAGGTAAGTAAAGAAATTGTTTGAGGCAGTTATGCGCCACATTGCCGCAGGACGAAATTTCCCGAGGACTGCACTCGAGAGTTCATTCATTCCACCGGCGAATATCCTGAAGTGTTCATATTATGTAGTACGAAACTAAAATCAACGTGAACCAGCCATTAGACTATACTTTCATGCATGTCAGAAATAGAATGGATTGCTTACCCAGCTAAGCTTTGAGAAATTAGCAGCAAAAGAAAGGAGAAAGTCAGTAGCCCGAGCACAGGCGACGCCATTGTTGTTACGGAAACGGACACGTGTATCAAAGGGCATGTTGGGAAAAGTGTCGGAAACGTCACATCGGCGGCGCTCTGCTGGTAGATTCTGATTGGCCGCTGACAAAATCGAAACCGAAAAGACTGACGCTCACCAAAAGGTTCCGAATTGGATCTGACGCTTCGCTAGAAACAAAACAACGAGGGCACACGTTTCCGTGTTGCTTCACAATAAAAAAATATAATAATTTATAAACGTGTTCGCCCGAATGTTTCAGAACCGTGGCACTAACAGGCATGAACGATAAAGCAGTAAAGCTTTAAAACGTGATTAATGACAGCACGAGCGTATTGGAGAATCAGATTAAGAAATTACCCATATGGCGGGACGGAAAAAAAAAAAAAGCTTTCCACAAACCCAGGTTTTTGAGTCTGTGTCTCTATTAATACTGCACACAATTTCTAAAAAGAACAACAAGTTTACCTCTGATGTAGCCGATGCTGCCGTAATCATAGGCGTAGACTACGGAGAGGAGGGGGGGGAGGGCATCGGCGCTCGTGTCTCCCCTGGTGAGATTCGGGGGGGGGGGGGGGGGGGGGGGGGGAAGGGGGGGAAGGGAAAGGGGACAGGGCAGAGCTTTCCCCGGGCCCGGGCCATGATCCTTACCTAGACGCTGTTTGCGTGCCATGTAACGAGCTTCTAGTAGTGGCATGTAATCAAAATAACGCTCACATTGCCTTTATTGACAAAATACATGGGAAATGGAATGCCAGCGTATTTCGTTCGCTTCAATCTACAGTTCTGGCGAAAATATAACGCGTAGCAGCCCAGCTCCCCCCCCCTCCGGGAAAATGGGAAGTCTACGCCGCTGGCCATAATGCTGACCACTAAAAGCCCAGTTAAAATATGTTAGTTTTTTTTAAACTGAACATAGGCAGCCATTGCTGCGCCTATAAACACCATATTTTCAACATTTTATAATATATAAAACAAAATATATGCAACAAGTTTTAACTGGAGCTCAAACGAATACCAATTAACACATTATTGTTCCTTGCATGCCTTTTGTAGTCCTCACAGGCGTTGCAATTGCGGCTAATATGGAAGGCTTAAAGGCCGACGACCAGACCCGAGATTCTGCATGACAGAAGATCCTCCTCACCATGGGGGAGGAGCAAACAGGCAACGGTGGACAGGGTAGAAGGGGGAGAGGAGGAAGTGGGGGGAAATTAGAAAGCGCGAACTGATCGTCGGTCTTTAAGTTCCAAATTTTGGGGATAGATGAATGCCCCAGCTTGGGTCCTCATTTTGTAGGATGCAAAGGAGCGAGCCTTATCTCCAGACAATCCTCAAATATAGGGTGGTTCAAGTCACCAGGCTCGATTTAAAATGGACCGTAAAAATCGACGCCTCCACGTAGCAATCTAAACTTTTCGTCAAAGGTGTAATTCACAGGTCGGTTTTTTCTTGGAAAATTACAAAGCGTAGCTCTCTTTCTGTAAAAAATAAGGCCAAGAAACTTGCCAGGGTCTACGGCGGGCAGCGACGCAGACAACAGGGGTCCAGTAGCGGGGTGTGTTTGGTGTTTGTATTGATAGATGGCGCTACCTCCTTATCGTGACGGCTCACGACCATCATGGTTTATTAATTTCAACATAATCTTTTGGAAATGTACCTTCGGTTAAAAAATAAATGCGGACAATAAAAGCAAAAATTAAAGTAAAAAAACGCGTCTGCATAACGGCGGCGCTTTTGCTGCCAACGGATTTTGTCTGCGTATCGTCTGCTTTCTTTCGCTGGTTGGCTGCACCTTCAGACGCTGCTCCCGACACCATCTATCAATGCGAACGACAAACACACCCCACTACTGGACTTGGTCCTCTGGGTCGCCGCCCGCCGTAGACCCTGGCAAGTTTCTTGGCCCTATTTTTTACTAAAAGAGAAGTACGCTTTATATTTTTACAAGAAAAAGCCGTCCTGTAAAATACACCTTTGACGAAAATTTTAGATGGCTACGTGCAGGCGTCGGTTTTTACGGTCCATTTTAGATTGAGCCTGGTGACTTGGACCACCCTATATATAACCAAAAGCACCTTACAAAGTTACTCGCAGCACCTCTGCAGAACGGAACAACTTATAAACTTGGCCGGATAACTTATTCCCAGTTAAAACTTTGTCCACCAAACTAACTAATTTCACAATTATAACACTTCTGCACTTCCACAAAATGTGCATTTTATACATGCATAACTTCGAAGACAAAAAGGATAGATTGACTTGCCTTGGAAATAGCTAATATATTGTTTTGGACAAGTTCCAATCACCTATTGGGCCAGAAGCTTTAAATCTCCAGTAAAAGAAGTTCCCCATAATATAGAAGCAATCTACAAAAATGGGTCTGCAGAGTCAGCCTGTGCAAAACAGGAGGTAACAAATTTCTTTACCTCCTTAATTCTTGGGGCATTTAATATTCCAAAGACAAAAGCCAACATCTTGACCTTTAAATTTCCTGAATATTCAAAAATTATGAATAAAGTATTCAGAATTAATCGGTTTCTTGCAAAGGACTTCACTGTTTCACACCGGTGCAAAGCACGGAAGCTTCACTGCTTAGCACCGAAGCACACACATTAAGCTTCACCGCTTTGCACTTTGCTAGGGGAAACGGCTGACATATCAGACCAGCATACTGCCGAACTGCAGAAACTGCACTCGACTGGGCGCACTTGTTTGACGAAATTTAGAACAAGAGAGAAACTTAGTTTCGCCCACAAGTGGGGCAAGGTGTTGTCATGACATAGCATTTTGTGCTGCATTGTTGTGTCCAATAAAGAAAAAAAAAAAGACAGCAGATCAGCTCGTTTGAATTAATCACCTTGGAAATTTTACTCAATACTGCAGGACAGCCAGCCTTCTTTGATTATGATTATGGTTCAATCTCCGATTTTCAAGGGCAGTACCGGAAAAGAAAACATCAAGCTATGCTCAAATAAATAAGGCAGTCATTGCTTTCCTGGCCATGCTGCATTCAGCTGTTTTACCAAGCTCATCCTATCAAGACTTTTCTTTTCTTAATGCAAGTAATGAAATGTTTCTAATTTAGTAATCTAACTCTTCCCATACCTGTGCTTTTAGAAAAATATTTTCAGCCGTGATTTATTAAGATATTCATGCTCAATTCACATTAAATGTAAAATTTTTGGATTAGAAATATTAAAATTCAATTTGCTGTGAAACTTTAATATTCATATCAGATTTGCAATAAAAAATGTGATATTCACACACCCCTACTATTTGCCAAGCGGCACTGCATTATCTAGAAAATAAAACAATGGGCATCTGTGGTGCCAAATTGGAGCGTCATCTTTCCTATTCAGCATCGTGCACTATTCAGAATGATTTTTTAGAGTTCAGAGGACACGGTACAACAGGTATGTTGCATTCAAATCATGAAAAAAATTTCTAGTTTGGGACCTGCTTCCTTTCAGGTTCAGCAATTGGTGCTTACACAGCTGGGAAGGTTGTAACTTGAGCAGCTTACTGCACTATATAATACTTGGTTAACACTTGTATAACTATATTTTACCAAAATAGTTTCTTTAAACGATTTTGATGTCCATTATCACGATATCAACAATCTACAAAGTACTTGCACACCTCATAATAACAGTTCTCACACAAGCAGCAGGTTTTTGAGCGGTCTAAAAAGCGTGGCTATTATAAAGATACTAGTCAAGATTAGAAGAAGGGATATTAGGCATTGCATTTCCTACAGGATTGAAGAAAATTAATTGCTGTTACAATCCTGTTTTTTTTTTTTTGTGTGTGTGTGTGTTTTTTTTAGTTTTGGCGATTCAATATATAGTACTCTAAAAGTGCAAATGCCTGCTGCTATTAAACTGTGCCATTTAAAGCTGTTAGTTGCATATGAACGTGAAATAATAGAATTATACAGAGGTAAACATCTCCAGAGCAAGATGTAAAATTACTACTTCAGCTGCAAAGTCAAAGGGGATGTGATACACATACTGCACCATGAGTGCCTCATGCAATCAACAGAAGGGACATGTTATAAACAACTGTACAAAATACTGCACATGTTTATTTCTTCAACTTGTAAAGGCAAATAAACGAGCATGGAAAAAGCCATAGAGTATTCCCTGCATTGCCAACCACTTGTAAAACGAGCATGGCAACGTCTTGTGAGCGTCATAATGTACAACGAAACTGTTCAGGGTTTTTCTTTTCACTGTCTATCATTTTCCAAGAGTGGTGAACACCTCATAGTCGAGCACAGAGAAGTTATAGTCGCCCATGAGGAGAGTGCACGATGCTCCTTCGCCATCGTAAGAGTGGGGCAGGTTGGAGTAGCTCTCCATGTTGGAATTGCAGTGGTTCGCAATGCTCAGGTCCGCACCCGCTCCGAATATTGGGCCGTACCTGTGGTGGTAGAAAGGAAAACATAAATAATCGGGCAAGCTCTATATTGGTGTCTTGTGCAGATAGATGATATGCTCAACATAAAAGAAAAATACATTTAACAAACTGTCGTAAACCTTGCTTATCCGCAAGTGTTAGCGGCCAACTTATCTTTGCAACTTCTTCAAACTGTTCCATGGACTATTGCTAGATAATGTGCAGCACAATTTTAAAAACTTTAAAATGCACAAATAATAGGTGCAACATTTTTACAGTGCAGTGTGTAACCTCCAAATGTCAAAAGATAGTAGCTTTATACTATACTAAGGCATTGTGTTACTTGGAGAATCTAAAATGAGGTATAGTATCAAAAAATGCCTCAATATCATCCTGGTACCATCCCTTTTAAAATTCATTCCTTTCAAGCAAACAGCATTGTAGGGTAGGGTGGTTGCTAATATACAGGCATGAGTAGACATCTCCTGGAAGTGTTCCTGCTGTATGACTGTTTGTGCGAAATATCAGTGAGAACTACCTACATGCACTCCAGCGCAAAAATAATGTGGAGAACATGTTTTCTTCAATATTTAAAAAAGTGCCACTGATTAAGCTTGTTCTTCAGAATACAGCACTTGATTTGTCTAGACGAGAGCCCCTCCTAGGTAGCACATATCACCTAAGAAACGTCTGAAATTGGTCATGTACGAATAGTGGATTTTGAGTTCGAAGCGACTTCGAAGTGGTTTTGGCCGAATATTTTCCAATAGAATATTGAATAGTTTCTGAAGCCTTTCACTACTGTTGCAACATGCTTAAATGAAAACACCGCTAAACTCATGAAAGCTGTTCCCAAACTTTCACTTGTCCATTTATAAGCTAATTTTAATCTAATTAGTATAGTTATGAACTGTGACCTCAGAAACTTTGATGCCTAGGGATGGCAAACAAATGACGGCTCTGACATAGAATCAAACCTATAGAGATGCCCGGCTATACCTAAATGAGTGAATTTACAAATATCGCTATATGCAAATATCCTTTCTCTAATCTAGAATTTGAAAACAAATAAAAGAATCACAAATGATGAACTCAGGTTGTCAAAACATCTCTGCCTAACATATATCTTTGCATTAAAGCCACAGTTTAATTTTTTTTAAATTTTACTGCAAATAAAAATATAAACATTCACAAAGTTTCCGTGTTTTTTTTTTTAAATACACGAGCTGCGCGCGTGCACCATCCTGCTTTGGAAGAGTGCTTTTCCCTCAAGCACGCAATTGTGATATTCATACTTTTCCAAGTGTTGGTCGCGGCGGATTACCCTGTTGAGTATGCTTCTTACCGAGCACCGGTGCATTGCGGAGAAGTAACACCCGCAAAGCTCGCTTTCGCGGGTGTTGCTTCTCCACAGTGCACCCGTGCTAGGTAAGAAAAGCGCTCAAAGGGGCTAACCCGCCGTCATCAAAACTTTGAAAATTATAAATATTGCAGTTCATCTCGAGGCGAATATAGAATACTGTATTATTCAAAACTATAATTCAAAATTTTGAATATTCTAACAACAGACTGAAAAACAAATTTAGTACACACAAAAACATTTTGTTTTAGTGGCACTAAAAAAAAAAAGCATTGTTTTTTTTTTTGTTAGCCATGTGGCTAAGTTGGGGGCAATGGGGGCTACAAGGAAAGAGGCGAAATTGGTTCGTTAAATAGCTAATTAACTAAATAGTTTAAATTAACTTTTTTAGATTTTCAGTTTTTGGTGCACAAGGTAGTTGGAGAATTGATGCTCGAACTCATCAGTGCCATCTAAACCTTATGCAAAATTTTGATTAAAAAGATGGCAGTTGTTGCTACAGGGCAAAAAATGTCATCCTTGTACACGGTTTGAAACTAAGCCGGCGAAGCATACCCCTGACGTTGATCACCCTGCTCTGCACCGGCTTTGTGACCCATGTGTCAGCGCCGCAGGTGACGTTAGCACAGAGCGGAGGGATGACGTCATGGGTGCTGTTGGCCAGCTCAGTTTCAGTTTGAAGCCGTGTACGAGGTGACCATACCGCAAAATACCGAGCAAGCGCCCACTCATAATTTGAAGATAATCATGAAAAAATAGGGGATGGGCTCATGCGAGGTCATCAATGTTACATATTTCACTTCATTTCATTTATTGTTGCTCAAAGACATCCTTTCGGACATATTACATGAGCGAGGATTTGGGAAAAAAATCATACAAAGCACAATACATATAAAACTTTGGGTTCAAAAACTATCAAACCCGAAAATTCGGGAAAAAAAAATCATACAAAAGCATCATACATATAAAACTTACTGTTCAAAAACGATCAAACAAGAAAGAACAACATCAGAGGGACCCCTGATTGGTTCAAGAATTGTACACAATGCCAAGAGCATTCAAACTGAAAACAGATTATCATCTTGGAAACCTAGTTCAACAATAAATCGCTACATTTGTTTTTAACCAACAACTCGTCACGTTCAGTTGCCACAGTCTGGGAGTGCGTTCCAATCTGAAATACACAAAACTAACGGAGATGAGAGGAATAGATTAGTGCGTGACGCAAAAGGTTCCACTTTCTGGGTGTTATCACATCGGGCCGAAATATGGGTTGCAGGCCTACACAAAAAGTTGGTCTGAAAGTAGAGTCACTGTAATAAATTCAATGAAAAAAAAACACAAGCGTGAAATTTTCCTTCTTATCTCCAAACACGTCAGACCCAGATTTTGTTCTAAACTCGTGGCACTGGTTTGTTAAGAGTATTTTCCAGAAATAAAACGGGTGGCTTTACTTTGCAAGGCCTCAAGATTTTTAACAAGGTAATTTTGGTGCGGGATTATATTTGCATATTCTAGTTTTGGTAAAATTATAGTTTTATAGGCAAGCAGGCGTGTTTCTTGGGGTGCCTGGTACAGCGTACGCCTTAGAAAACCGAGTTTTCTAGATGCGTTTAATATGATGTGATCAATGTGCTCGTTCCAAGTTAAGCTGGATGTGAAATAGACACCTAGACAATTATATGACGTGGCAACTTCTAGTTCGAGAGAGAGGAGGCTGTACTGGGTTAATATCACATTAGTTTTATGGGTAACTCTCATTAGCCGGCATTTTCTGATGTTAATGTTAAGCTGCCATTTTAAGCACCAATTACTATAATTCTGTCAAGGTCAATTTGCAGAGCACGACTGTCATCTGTACTGGTTATTTTTCTATATAAAACACAATTGTCTGCAAACAACCTGATTGTTGATGTTAAGGTGGATGGGAGATCATTGATATAAATTAAAAACAAGAGGGGACCAATTACGCTACCCTGAGGAATGCCTGATGTCACGAGAAGTTTTGAGGAAAGGGCATCGTTTAACTTTACTGATTGGGTTCTACCACGCAAAAACGCTGCAATCCATTCCACGATAGATGAATCTATTTGAAGATGGGACAATTTTAAAAGTAGGCAATAATGGGGAACTGTATCAAATGCCTTTGCAAAGTCGATGGAGATAACATCAGTCTGGGTGCCAGCATGAGTGTTAAAGACCGACCAACGAAAAGATTTTCCGCAAGGTAGGAAAATGCCCCTCGCGCCCTCCTCTTTTCACCCTCTCCCAAAAATCACGTGACGGCAGGGGCTCGTTTTGTGTCGGCTTTTTCTGTAGGGATAATCCTCAAAAACCGCGAAATGAGCAGCTAGCTGCGAGCGCAACAACGACCTTGAGACGTCCAGGTGTCTTCCCTCGTTGACGCGGGCATGCTCAATCCGCGAGATTGAGGAAGTCAGCGCGACCGAATGCTTTTTCCCATGAGCTGCAGGTCCGAGGCCGCTCGGTCGGTGGAGATCGAGGGGTCTTGGTATGCTGGGTTCGTTCCAGCAGCCGCTTTCTGGCATCGCGCGGCTGCTGGAACCATTCCCGTGTCTGCACAAGGACTGGCTTGCGCAATAAAGGGTTCAGGTCGTTGATAATACATTTATTTTTGAAACTTATAAATCAAGTGGCTTTCCCTAATCTCTTCATTACTGTTTGAAACACATCTCCTCTCATAGGTTGTTCATCCCATTTTGGACTATTTTGCGTATTTATTCGTCCTTACCTCTGCTTGATGACTGTGTGAAACTTGATAAAGACCTTTAAATATTGGCGCGGACTTGCGCGATCAACGCTGTCCCGGATTTACCCGAAATTGGAAAGATTGGCGTCAGGAGGAGTTGAAGAAGCAAACCGAAAATCTTGCTTCTAATGAAGATGGCACAATTGTAAGATAGGTCTTTGCTTCACTTGCCTCCACAACGCCCCATCGTTTGCACTATCGCAACTTCTCAGTAACATAGCTGTATACCACATTTTACTCATGGTTACTATAGATGTGGCCCCATAGGCTTTCCCGTTATGAGCGAGTCGACTTTTTAACGACCGGCAACTCTCCTGAGTGAGAATAAATATTATCACCTTTCCACAACATCCACCCCTTTCTCCCCCCTCCCTTTCCCGAGTTGGGAAGATATCAGACCACTCCAGGAAGCAGCCTGCAGACTGCACTTTTCGGCTACTCATTCTCAACACATTCGAACGTGGAAGTAAACACATCGCATGAACGACGCCCAGTTAATTTGCAACCTAAATAATGTGGCTCTATACTGTTGGGACCCAACCAATTTCATCATCAATCATTATTTGTTACGATTTCATGGTGAAAGTGTGTTCGTCGTGATGCCACAAAAGTGATTGATTCAAAGGGTATTTATTTTGCTGAAATACTCGCTCCTGTGATGCTCTAGTGCGTAAGGTTACGCACTAGAGCGTAACCTTACGCACCCGAGGCAGTGCGTAATACTTTTCAACTGCCGTTGACGATAAAACATTTGTGGGAAGTGCGTAAAATTGTTTACGCACTTCCCACAAAATTGTTAAAAATCAGCTTGCGAAAACTGTTGCTTCCCCCTCTCTCTCTTTCTTTTTTTTTTTCGCGCCACTATAAAAGATAGCGGCCGAGAAACAAAATTCT